AACCAAGACATTTTCACAAGTAAAACTGAAACCGTTCAGATATTTCCAAGCCCAAGCTCTCAGGAGTAGAACAGAATAGCAGACTTTCAAACACTTTATAGCAGTGGTTCCCATTGTGGGGTCCATGCCCCATAGGGGGGCAATTTGATTTTTAATGGGGGCAATTGGAACCTTGTTTAAACCAAGTTAATGGCCTCTTAGGCTTCTTCCGTGTGAGTAGGAATCACTTTTTGAATAAGAAGAATTATATGTCACGGAGTGGGGGGCATCAGGATTTTAGAGATGCTTAGGTGAGACATGGCCAAAAAAAGGTTGGGAACCACTGCTTTATAGGTTTGAGCAAGGAAGTTGAAAAACAATGTGAGTCTGGAGCAAAAAATATGCTGTCGTTCCATTTAACTATTCCAAGGGCAAACTAAGTAGCCAAGGGAACAGACCACTCCGCCAGATGGAACCAAAAGAAGGGGCTAAAGTAGAAAAACTGTAAGGAAGATGGGCAGTTTCTAAGTTTGAGGAGGGTGGGAGGCAGGCAGGCAGGCAGGCAGACAGACAGAGAGGATATTGTTACTTGTTCCCATGCCCCAAGACCCGAAGGCCAAAAGATGGAAAGTTCTCAACTAGGGTTAGAGAAATTCCCATGAATTTCTGGGCTGCAACAATCCAGATTTCCACTAGAAGGAAACAAAGAGACAAAAAGCACCACACTCTTGACACTCACTTAGGGATAACATTGATTGTTGTGGTCCAGATGCGATGCTGCTATGCTCATAGCCATTACCAACTCAGCTTTCCTTTGCAGTACTGTTAAATTCTGGGTGAACAGGGAACGTCAAGTCTACGAAGAGGCCAGAGGACAGGAAAGTTTCCTGGAGAGGTAGGGAAGATATAGATTGATTTGACTGGTTCAATTTCCTTTAAACTGACTCCTGCTAGTACGGAAGGCCTAACTGGTGCATGGGCTCTAGTTCAGATGTTTCAAGAATACACTGAAAGCATAGATACAGCCCAGCCTTTTTATTTTTATGATATACCAAAAAGGGAGGGAGGTCAGAAATGAAGAGAGAGATAATCTACTGTAAATTATCTAATTATTCAGTCAATAAAAACTTAATTTAGTTCCTGTCCAAGCTATTGCTATAAACCTAGTTTGGAATGCTACATGAAAAGGATTGTTCTACAGATCGTATCTTCCTATGTAATTTTGCTGTTTCTTGGGAAATTGGATGATTGAGATCAATTCCTACTAATATTGCTTCAAGTCATGTGACTTGAAACAGTGAGGGTCATTGGATGACCTAGCTGGCACTGAACTGTCCTCAGATTAGGATTCAGCTATAAGAAAAAGCCCTGCTGCAGGAAATCCTTAGACTGAGATTAAGAAGTCATAAAATCAGTCTCTGAGAAATTCCCATGTGTTTGACAGATATATGTTCTCTCTTTCTACTCTGATGAGTGTCATACCAAATAACAAAACTTAAAACATAATAAAAAGTCAAACAGATGGATTAAAGAATGGATGTGGCTTTAAGGATTACCGCTCAAAGGAGAGTGGCTTTACGAATTTCCTAAAGAGTGGGGATAAAATACAACTTTCAAAGGATTGTATTTTGCAGCCTGGGAAGATGACAAGGGAAAACGTTTCTTAGCTTGTCAAAAAAAAAAAAAAAAAAAAAGAATCAGCTCCTTGTCTACCCTAATTTCCTAATAGGAGATGCAGGCTCTTAAAAGGTTCTAAGTCATTTAGCATTCAGCCAGCAAGAGGAAACTGGCAATAGCACTTAGACTTATATACCGCTTCATAGTGCTTTTACAGCTCTCTCTAAGTGGTTTACAGAGTCAGCCTATTTGCCCCCAACAATCTGGGTCCTCATTTTACCCACCTTGGAAGGATGGAAGGCTGAGTCAACCTTGAGCCGGTGAGATTTGAACTGCTGAACTGCAGCTATCAGCCAGCTGAAGTAGCCTGCAGTGCTGCACTCTAACCACTGCACCACCTCGGCTCCTATACTAGAAACTAGAAACCAAGTTCTGGGTTCCTCAGGAACTATCCATTATTGGTCTCCAAATTATTGCCATGTAATAATAGGATTGGATCGTAAAATAAAGAGGTTGCATACTCAAGAGCTATTAGTTGGGGATCAGAGAGGAGAAGCTGAGATGGACAAGACAAACAATTTAATGATTTGCTCAAGAATGTAGATGAGAATATTCATTATTTATTACAGTCCATCTTCCTTCCAGGATTTCTAGGTGGTATACAAGGGGGTCCCTCCTCCAATTTTTCCTCACAAAAACCTTGTGAGATAAGTTGGGCTGAGAAAGATTGTCTGGTTCAAAGAACTTCAATGGCTAAGACAGCAATTAAATATGGGTTTATCCACCTAGTCCAACACCTTGATGGCTATTTTATACATGGAATACTTGAGTTATGATGGTAATTGGGATCAGGACTGCCATTGCTAAGCAATGCAGTCATGAGGCAGCTTGTCACATGACCACATTACTTAGTGATAACCATCTGGGCAGTCCTAGTTGCTGCTGTACGCCTGAGGTGTATGGGTCGTTAAGCAAGAAGAGGCAGGAGCCCCAGATAGAGAGCCTGGGGTTGCTGTGGGGTGGGGGCGGGGTGTCATGAGTGAACGGTAGTGGGGGCTAGGAAGGCCAACACAGATCACATGCAACTTAGGAGAGGGTCGGTGTAGGCCATGTACAGATAGGTGCCATGGACGGGAGAAAAAGTGGGAGTGATTTACCAGAGCGACTTGCAATCCCTGCCAACTTCCCCATTGATTTTGCTTGTGTGAAGCTGGCAGGGAAGGTCAAAAATCATGTGATCATGTGAGTGCAACTCCCTGCGATGTTATAATCACAAGCTGGGCACCTGAATGCCTGGGCTGCAATTATGTGACTGCAGGGGTGCTGCAATGAATGTAACTTTGAGGACTGGTTGTACGTCCATTGTTTTCAGCACTGCCATAACTTTAAACAGTCACTGGACAAATGGATAGAAGTCAAGGACTATCTGTATTTATTATATACTAAAATATGAAGCAGAAGCAGTTTGCTGTAGTGGTAGAGATATTGATTAGAAACTGGGAGACATTTATTATTTATTTATTTATTTATTTATTTATTTATTTATTTATTTATTTATTTATTTATTTATTTATCTATCTTATATGCCACCCTCTCTCTGGAAAGGACTCAGGGCGGCTCACAGCAATAAAAACAGATAAAATCAATATTAAGTGTTAAAAACCATTAAAAGTCCCCTTAAAAACCCCTTCAGTCCAATCCGGCCTGGCGAAATAACCATGTCTTAAGGTCACGGCGGAAAGAGCGCAGGTCACGGGCCACCTAGAGCTCCAGGGGGAGTTGATTCCATAAGGTAGGTGCACCCACAGAGAAAGCCCGTTCCCTAGGAGTTGCCAGACAACGGCACTCCAAGGAGGCCCTCCCTGTAGGAACGCACCGGGCGATGGGGAGCTGTCGCTGGCCGCAGATGGTCCATCAGGTACCCCGGGCCTAGGCCATGTAGGGCTTTATAGGTAAAAACCAGCACCTTGAATCTCATGTTAGTTCTGCCTTAGGCACAAAACCAGCTGGGTGACCTTAGGCCAGTCACTTTCCCTTAGCTCTAGGAAGAGGCAATGGCAAACCACGTCTAAAAAAACTTTGCCAAGAAAACTGCAGAGACTCGCCCAGACAATTGCCGAAGACAATACCTATTCCAAGGCACCCACAAAATACACATAGCACACCAATAAAATATATGAAAAGAACATTGAAGTTCTAAACAACAGAGAGGATGAGTTTCTCAGGAAAGACTTGTGAGAGATCCCATACAGATACCTTACATTTCTGACTCAGAGACTCGGACTACCTTTCCATTTACAGTAATAGAAACATTAGCTAAAATTGTCTTATCAGTTTTGGACAGAATAAGATCCATTTTGTCTCATAAGGCTCTGCCTCCTGGACATATGGGAGTGTAATTTGAGGTATTGGAAGGTGTTTGTGGCATGCAGATGTCCCTCTGTAAAACAAGTTCGATTCCCCATGACGGGGATTCAAAAATAGGTTGCAACAGGCTTTTCAGAGACGGGTGTTCGATTTGGGGTGGCCGAACAATATTTCTTTCCCAGATAAGTAGATAGACATCGCGAGACCGCCCAGAGCTTAATTTGGAAAGATACCTTGGTGGTGCAGCGGACTAAAGTGCTGTTACGTAGCACTTAGCTGCCAGCTGCCTGCAATTACTGCGAGTTCAAATCTCACCAGGCTCAAAGTTGACTCAGCCTTCCATCCTTCCGAGGTAGGTAAAATGAGGACCCGGTTTGTGGGGGCAATAAGCTGACTTTGTATAAAAAAGAACACCGCTTAGGGGGGGATGAAAGCCCTACTAAGCAGGTATATACAAAAGTATGAAGGCTATTGCTTAACGCATTGTAAGCCACCCTGAGTCTCCGGAGAAGGGCGGCATATAAATCGAACCAATAAATAAATAAATACATAAATACACCTGTGTCCTCAATTAACTTGAAGTTTATTTTAATTAAACTTAATTAGGTTTAAATGTCATCGAAGGCGATCGTGAAACTCTGTTTTCCCGTACAAAAAGAGCTGTTTTTCGTAAAAGAAAATTTATATTTACCTTGTAAAGATAGTATCGGCACTCTAAACAGCAACCCGGCTTCGTGGAAGAAAGTGATTTTTTTTTTTTTTTTTGTACCACCTGGACGGCCAATAAAGAAATACAATGAAGAATAAGGGGCGGGGCTTTTTATTTGCATATTTCCGCCTCCGTTCCCATTTCCGATTTGCCCGTGCCTTTGAGAGGCGTGCTTAGCGCGTTGCAACTTCTTTCTGCCGAATTTCATTGGTCCAACGACATCAGTCGTAATCGGTGCCCGCCCCTCTGATAAAATGTCATTGATATTCTGGAACGCTCAGACGCCGATTAAAGTTGTGATTGGCGGAGCAGAGGCTTCTTAAATATATTCGTAGTCGGGATCCTGTTGGTCTCGAATCGTTCCGGGCCCGCCCTGGAAACACCTGCTACTGCTCCGAAACAGGACTGCCGGAGGTGCTTCAGGCTAGTCCCTCGAAGTTACTTTGCATCCTTCAACTAACTCGGAACGCTTTTGATTCCGGTTGAGATTCTTGGGACATTTGATCCACCGAAGGAGAAACATGGACAACGGGGGAGGGAGCGAACCGCGGCTCTTGCCTCGATTGTGCTGCCCAGAAAAGGGGCCGAACGGTTACGGCTTCCATCTACACGGGGAGAAGAGCAAAACGGGCCAGTTCATCCGGTTGGTGGAGCCCGATTCCCCGGCCGAAAAATCCGGTCTGAAGGCTGGGGACCGCTTGATAGAAGTGAACGGAGACAACGTAGAGAAAGAAAGTCACCAGCAAGTAGTGAACCGCATCCGAAATTCTGCCGGGTCGGTCCGCTTGCTTGTTGTAGACTCGGAGACCGACCAGCATCTGCAGAAACTGGGCCTCCAATGCTGCGAAGAATTCATTCGTGGGCTGCCTGAGAAACCCGAGGCGAGGAGCGGCGACGAGGAGGCTGCCCAGCAGGACCAGGAGAACGAAATGAAAGCGGATGGAGAGGAAAACCACCACGCTGCCCAGCGGGTAAACATTTAAGGTCTCGTTCGCTCGTGGGGTGGGGGGGGGGAAGGCGGGAGGTTACCGATGCAGGAGGCCGAAAGGTTGATCTGAAAACGCGAAAGGCAGAAATGCAACAGGACTTCCCATCACCGAATCGGTCAGGGCTCTTCGGGTTTTGTTTTGTTTTTCTTCTTTTCTTTTCGCGAGGTTTTCCGAACGTGGCACTGCGGTGGCCGGCGGAACTACCGTACACCCCACTGAATTTCTGCCAATCACTGTGCTAAAAAAAAAAAAAAAAAGCACAAAATCTCTGTTGGGGGAATCAAGGAAAACTAGGCTAATATACAATTAAGTGGGTTGGGCGAGGATTACTCACGGGAAGAACCAGGAAAGCACGTTAACAGCGTTTAGTGTGTGTTTCCAAGCAGATCTGGCATGACAAGTAGATGCGCCCCTAGAAGTAGGAGCTAGTGAAAAGTTTTCTCTGTTTGTTGATAAGTGTCAAAAAAACAAGTCCCACCCAACCCCTTTTTTGTAAATTCATCCGTAAACTCCCTTGCTGCGCTGTATAGATAAGGTTGCTTCTGTTGTTATTGACAAAACTGCGTTACTCTTTAGAAAGCAAAGAGTAGCCATGTTGACTAGAGATAGAGAGGGAGGAGGACGCGGAGGGAGAAAGATCCAAAGGAAAGCAACAGTTCTGGCTGTGCCCCTTCTTCTTCTTCCCACCGCCACCGCGGTCCGGGTTATATATATATATATATAGGCTGTCTTTGCCTCGGGGCTTGCGGAGAAGCTGAGGGCAGATTTCAGACGAAAAAATTAGGGAAGGCTCTGCAATGTGAGCCCTGCCAATCTCGGCTGTCTGTTGCGTTCTCAGACTTCACAGGTACCCCCGTGGGAAGAGAACCGGACATTCCTTTGATCCGGCGGTCCAAATCGAGTTCGGGGTGTTCCTTTAAAGCTCGGGGAGGGGGCGTTGTCAATGTCTCCCAGTGTTAGATCAGCGAAGCGGAAAGAACGTTCGAAGAATTTGGGCTTCGCTACTTCATCGCGTCACTTTTCCCCTGTACCTGAATTAAGAGATTAAGTGGTGCCTGGTACTCTTTGTAACAACTCCGCCTCCCCTATAAAACTTTTTTTTTTTTTTAATGGTACACATCAAAGCTGAAATCCTCTTGGGCCAGCCGTCTTCAATCTGCTTCGTTCCAGATGTGCTAAAGCTACATTTGGGGATTGTGTTCCAAATTCGAGTGTGCCTTATTAAAGAAAGGCTATCTTTCTCAGTAGATACTAGAAAAAGTGGGGTGTTGCCTTCCATTTAAATCACCGTGGTGTGCTTTATTGCACAAATGTAAGTTAGGTCACCTTCATTATGTCATCACATTCTGTCAAAAGTAAAGGTGTTTTTGTGTGATAAATGGGACTGCCACCTTATTTTCATGTATGCTAATTTCTTTCCTCCTTTGCTACTTTGCTAAATCAAAAGAGGAATTTATTAAGGTTTTTTTTTTTAAGCTTTAAAAATAATTAGCACCTTCCTGCACACTTCCTAAACTCTGGGAGGCATAGAATAAATCAAATCAAGTACTTACTGCTTATTGAGCTACCATAACCTGGTATTAAACATTTGGTGAATTTTTAATTGTCTCAATGAAACTGGCCTCACCTTGAGCCCTGCAGGGCACAGAGAACTTTGAAGTTTTAAAAGCAGAGGGGTAGGAAAAAAGAAACCCAGTTATCTGAACAAGAGGCTGGAACTGTTGTTTCCTGAAACTGAATCTTTGTTTTTTCTCCCCATTTTTTAAACATAAACCTATTCAAGTTTTTTTTAAAAAAAATTCATTTCCCTAGATAATTTAGTGAGCTCAGATCTTTTCTGCTACTTTTATACATTTTGGATTGCTTTATAGAGAAATTAAATCTGTTCCACTAATCTGAGAGGTAGATTTAATTCCAAGATATGTAGGACCAAGTATTGCTGGTCCATTTACGTGAACTTGAGGAAGAAGATGGCTTGGTCAACTTGTTGAAACTTGAAGCTAAGCTGACTTTGGGGAGAAGGTTCAACAAATGGATGCTGTAACCAAAAAGGCCCTGTTTGGTATTGTATATCCACTAACTTAGCCTCTCCTAAACCATACATTATATCTTTAGGAGATCATACTTTAGGAACCAACATGCTCATTCAACTATTGAGGCCTCACAAGTTTTTTTAACTGATACCTAACATGGATTAATATAAATAACATTTTCTCTACAACCTCCAAATATATAAGAAAGAAGATAATAATAAAACAGTTCTTTTACTTTAAAATCCTATTAAAATAATTTTGATTGAGAAGCCTTTCTCTATCTTGGAAATCTAAAATGTTGTTTCCCTCGAGGTCCTGTGATGGATATATGTCTGCTTATAGATTTGTACTGGTGCATTTTGTGACTTCCCCTCTTAACAATGAACTTTTGAGGGAGAGATGATGGGTTTCAGTCTTTGGTTGTATGAACCTTTGTTGAGATAGCTCCCAAAACAAATGTAGAGATCCGCTGAAACCATTAAATTGAGTTTTAAAAACTGAAGCAATCAAAGAAAGGTTGCTGATAAAACCAGCAATTAGACCATTGTGAGGTCAATAGTAACTCCCTTTATAGTCCAAGACTTTGCTCTTGTGCTGCTTTCTGTTTCTGATTTTGCTTGAGAGGAGGCTTACGAATATGGATATGAACACTTGCTGAAAAGATTGTTGCAATGCAGGAGAAATATGCATATGATCCTAGATGCTTGAAATCTTGGGATTAGGGTATTTGGAGTCCTGGATGTGGTTAGACTGACAAAAAGACAGGTTCTTTGGAGCTCTGGCCAACACTGAGAATGTGTTTACTATTAAGCATTGATCAAACTGGACTTAGAGCAATCTGACCAGCAACAACCTTCTGAGAAATAGAGAAGTAATTTGCCTTAAAAAAAAATAAGGGAAAGCTGTACATAAAGGAATGTAGAAGAGGCTGAAGTACAGGCTTCCCACGAACAAATCAAGTGATTGCGATAAGTGCTGTAATACAAAACTCGATTAGATTAGTTTAAGTCATAAATGCCTGCTATGGGGCGGGGGAATGCCTGACTTTGACTGGATTCATATTTGTGGAAAAATGGATATAGATAAAGGCCTGCAGGGGCATTTGAAATGTACAGCTGTAGAAAGAACACAATTTGGACTTGAGTCAGCTTTGCTGGAATGTTTAATACTGGTGGGCAGTCTGGTACCTTTTAAATATTGGTGTCACAATCTGCCACAATCTGTGCTAGGCATCATCTGGCCTATACTCCTGTCCAAAAGGTTGGGGAAGAGAACAGGTTTGGCATTAACTGAAGGGATCCCAGTCATCCAGAACAGCAGTTCTCAAGTTGCAAATTTGGACCTATCACTGAACCTCAGCATTGGCTCATAAACATTTCTGCTTCTTCAGTCTTGATTTCAGTCTAATATAAATCCTTTATATTAGACTGAATACATTCCTACCCATTCTGCATTCTTGGCTGCAGCATAGATTGACTGATTGATTATGAGCCATTAAACCAAACTCTTAGCAACAACATCCAAGAAGTGAAACATCTTCAAAGAAAAACCAGAAAATCCAGTTGCCTCTTGAAAAAAGCACCTTTGGGACAACCATGACCTGGATGACTGAGAATCTCCATAGACATATCGGTATGTAGATTTTATCCAGGAATAGATTTTCTTGTTCTATTAGTACCAATATCAGCTCCAGTCGCAAACATATAACTGTATGTCTGAATGCCTGTTCAATGTGAAGACCATATCTAAGTTGAATTGATATTTTGAGATTTGAAAAGTTTAGATGCCTTCAAATCAGTTTAGATGATATGCATTTGAGAAAGGTCTCCCTCCCCCCACATACATACACACTTTGGAAATCCAAATGAAACTGACCTGATTTGACATCTTGATTTGAATGTCCAGATCAAATCAAACTGGTTTTTCCAAATTAGATTGATATTCAAATAGCAGATTTCCTGATTTGAATAGACACAAGGGTTAGTGAGAGTATACAATGACATGAAAGCTGCAGCAGCAAGGAAAGTTGATGAAGAATTGGGGGAAGATACAGATGCAAAATTCAGTACTTTCATCCCTCTGAATATTGTGGTAGGAATAGCCAAAGCAAGATGCTGTTTAATTGGAGCACCAAATCATACAGACTCCACTATGATCTATTAAAAGAAATCTTAAAGAAATATCCTTAATATGCTACCGCCTATAATATCTCGTGACAAAGAAAGAACATTACGGTACCTTTTTTTATTTCATTCCTGCCTCTTTGGGCTTGATAAATTAGAAACCATATGCAAATCATTGGAAGCAGATAGTCAAATCTGCCTTAGTTAAGGGTTACTTCTTGGGAGGGGGGGGGCAAAAGGAGAGGATTCTTGCCATTGCCAACAAGCAGGGGTCCTTGATTGTTTGGAGCTGCTAGGCATCTGGAATTTTGAAAGTGTATTATGGGCGTTCTCACAAAATGGCTGCTAGGGAGAGGATGGGCTGGCCCACAAACATCCATTTACGAGAAGGTTGCAGGAAAGCAAATTGGTACATTTGTTCCCTGCAACATTTTTGACCCCTCCCCCCAGAATAAGCCTAAATTACTGCCTCATTTTTCTCTTTCTTATGAGCATGCCAGTTTGTTTTCAATAAAGCAATGTCCTGCAGTTACTCATCATTTTTATTTTCTAAGAAAGCTTGTGGGGGGGGGGGGCGCGAAAGCACAGCTGGGAGCTGTCAACTTCCCATTTTTATTCCCATTTGAAAGAGAAGATCGATGAAGCGGGCAGAAATTTACCGTACTACTCCTTCTGCTCCTTCCATGCTATTATGGGACAAAGTAAAACTAATTGCTCACATTTGCCTGTAAACAGGTAGTTCTGCTTACATGCCACAGTCCTTCTGAGAATGTTTGCTTTCTGTCTCTCAAGTGTCCAGGATTAACTTTGCAAAGGAGAGCTTCAC